GAGAGAGAGAGAGATTTAACTGTTTTTCAATTTGTACACCTCACCCCATTGGATGGTTTTTTATTTTATTATATTTCTTTCTAGTTGCTTGATTGGAAATGGTTTAATTTCTCTTTCTAAGGAAATGGTTTAATCTCTCTTTCTAAGTTCAGATGCCAACATTTTTCATACTTCATACTGGAAAGTTGCAGAAGGTAATAAGCATGTGAAGCATTCAATATTGTAACTTCAATACTTAGGTTTATTTTTGTGTTCCTTTTTTTTTGGCTCTAATGTGAGAGATCCTGACCTCTTTTCTTGATCTCCATATTTGAAATAAGCATTAAAAGAAAACATTTTGTTTCCTTTTTGCTTCCCATTTTTTTCCTGTTAATTCGTTTCGTGGTTTAATATGCTTGAGCAAAAGCATGATATCGTGAATTAAGGGATAGAAGGTCACTTCACTAACTGAAGTACTAACCTCTTTGTGCTATGTTATTTTCATCGATATGAATCAAGATGTACACCAGTGGGTTAATTCCTGTGTTGGGAGCTTGTACAATTCTGTATACAGTTTATCTTTGCAGTATATACTGTAATTTTTTAGCAGTTTTGCAGTGTAAAACACGTAGAAAACCCAGTCCATATGTTACCAAAACTGCACAGATTCATGCACTGGAAGCTTACAATAACACATCATTTACACGAAGTGATACAGGTTCAACATACTACCAAAACAAAAGATGGAGTAGAAGAATGATACGATATTTTCTTTATGAAAGTTGAAATGTAACCGGTAGCACGTCAAAGAAATAGAATCTCTTAAATTAGAGAACAGAGGTAGGCATCATAAAAAAACCTCTTATGCTTATCCTCATGGCTGGACTGTAAACCACAATGTGCATAGTCTTTGACATTGATGTGACGGGCAGGATTCTTGCACAGAGTTTTGATACGCTGATCTTCCTTCTGAAGTATGAATTTTTTGTTTTTTGAGTAACTGTGTGGTTATGCCTTTACTCTAGGAAGAACTCTATCTTCTGAAAACTCTGAGCTTTTTTTCTTCTCTTAAAAAAAAAGAAAAGAAAAGAAAAAACTTTGTTTAGAAAGCTTTCTTAGTGGAAAAAATATAATCTGATTTAGAGCTTTTCTCTTATTCACTGGATGTTTCTCAACTGCAATACCATTGTTTTCCCCCTTTATTGAATTTGTAGCATGAATCTTTATCATTGTTGCTATAGCAAACATTTGTTATAATATCTGTTTATTTGTAGATTCCATTATCAACTTGGGGATAAGTATTATTTCCATACTATCACCGCATCAATGAAATTTGGGTTTCATTCCTAAGGTGTTTAAAAATCATGGTGCATCGGCTGGAGCATCAATGAGCCATTCCCATAGTCAGATTATGGCTCTTCCCATCATTCCTCCTTCTGTTTCAGCTCGCCTTGACAGCATGAAAGAGCATTTTGAGAGGACGGGGAAATGCCTGCTCTGCGAGATTCATACCAAGGATCTCTTGATTGATGAGTCTGCCCATTTCTTTGCGATTGCCCCTTTCGCAGCTTCATTTCCTTTCGAGATCTGGATTGTTCCATCCTACCATTCTTCACATTTTGAAGAATTAGACTCTGAGAAGGTGAGGTGTTGTTACAATTCCTCTCTCTTGTCCCTGTTTAGAGTATTTATGTTGCAATTGCTTTTATGTAACTGTCTTACGTATTATTTTTAAGACTCCAAAATTATTTTGCAGGCTGTTGATCTTGGGGGATTATTGAAGCTCATGCTACAAAAGTTGTATTATCAGCTAGAAAACCCACCATTCAATTACATGATCCACACCTCACCCTCAGGTGTCCCCTCTGGACTACCTTATAGTCATTGGTTTCTGCAAATAGTTCCACAGCTTTCAGTAGCTGCGGGTTTCGAGATTGGAAGCGGGTGTTACATAAATCCGGTGTTTCCAGAAGATGCTGTAAAAGTTTTGAGGGAAGTGAAGCTCCCTGTGTAAATTATACAAAAGTAAAATTTCATACCTGTTTTTCTTTCTACCTCCATACTGATATTTTTTTGTTTAAAGTATGGAATTTGTTTAATGGTAAGACATTAGCATTAATTATTCATTTGTCACTTGTTTAGATTTCGTGTGAAATGAAAATAGATTTCATATATGCTGACTTTTCGTACCAATGGATTGAGAATTGGAGTTTTCATATTGGAGCAGAACAAAAAAAGCTTAAATATTTGGGATTTCAGTGGGGAAATTTGGAATCCTTGATAAATAGAAGTTTGGAAATCCTTCAAATTTTCTCACGGAGTTACTCCTTTATTTTGGATATCAATGGTTTATCATCAATCTATATGTTTTGCATGGAGCCCCATGGTTGAGAAATAGGATGATATTTATCCTACCAATCCTCAATTTTTTATTCAAAATAACTGTTAACAACCATCAGAAAAGAATAGCATGAACCAAATCGAGCAATGAAAATGCATAATCATACAAAGTGCACGAATTATGCGAACTTTTTTGACCTACTACAGTTACCAATCCTTCAAAACAAAAGAGCCTACACAAAGTCCGGAGAAGCTCGCTCCTCTTTGAAACTTATAGTGATCATGGAGCGTAGTGCAACAGGGTTTGCCTTCAATCACCCATGGACGAATTATTACTTGTTGAATATGCCAAATAAGGATTTGATGGTGTTGATGGCGCCCTCGTTGATGAAGGATTCATCAAACCTGTCCAATAGTGGCTTGAAATCTTCTGAAGCCCTCAAGTTGACCAGATCAGGATCGCTTCGGATGCTCTTTAAAAGTATAATAAACCCATCAACACAAACAAATATTTGAATGGTTAAATGAATGTAGAGAAGAGAAGAAGAGGCTATGGAAGGGTTATTGGGCTGTGTTCAGAGGTCTCAAAAGTCAATAAGAACTGTCCCTGACTACACCTTGAAATGTCCTTTTGTTCTGAGCACAAAAATGTGGTTACTTAAAAAATTTAGAGAAATGAGAAGTCTTCACCCCAACGAGAGTCTATCACAAAAAAGCCTTAGGGAATCAAAACATCATTACAGAGTCAATTTTACTCCAAAAAGAAAAAAAATAAAATATCAAAACCCCATTACAAACCAACAAAAACGAGAACTGATTTCCAATTATTTTCATGTGACCATCATATATAAGATTAAATATTGCAAGGATTGACTTTTTCAATTGAACTCAATTCTACACAACGCATTTTTTTACCTTAAAATCTTCATATCCTGCCTCCATGGCATCTTCAAGGGCAGAGAGACCTGCTTGCACCTGCAAATTGGAGCAGTAATGAGATCCACAAAACATCCTAATTTTTCCTCTTTGCTTTATTTATTTTTAATAAAAGATCCTATCTGTCACTATGCTTATACTTCAGCATAAGCCTGTTGGAGCTAGAGGGTTTTCTTGAACCCAACATTTTTGCACACATGCTCATCTAAATCTAGCAGTCAAATTATGAAAGAATGGCACAAAAAAGGGGGTAAAAAGTAAGTCTGTTATTTTCGGAGCCCTAGGCCATCCATTTGGACTGTAGATCCACACATTTATGACCCATATACCTGATTTAGCTTGGAATAACAACAAGCCACATTGTAGCTCGCCACGGAACCTTCATTTGGTTCAGGTTTTGAACCCAACAGAGATTCAAACCGCTCCAATGCTTCTTCATACTTCTCTTCCCTGGATTTCATCATAAGGTAAACAACAAGGGCAAACTTTAATGAAAGGAGAAGATTGATTGACCTAACAACATGTCCAACTAGAATGTATATCATTTCTCTTATCATGATCAATGCACAATGGGATAAGTGAAGATTTGCGCAGATGAAAGTGGAAACCGCGTTGAGTTATATTACTTATCAGCTGATGAAAATTGAAGGGAATTTGAATGATGTAAGTGCCTCAATTATGTTTGTCCCACATTAAAGAGTGGTGAAATATATCGAGATCTTACTTATAAAGCTTCAAACCCTCACGAAGGTCCTTTTCTCTACGCTCCTTCTGTTCCATTTTTCTTTGATAGTTCCGCAACTGTCAACAATTTCAAGCCTCAGCTCTGAATCCATGTCCATTCAAATAGGTATGTACAGTTCAGTAAAGCTCCCAACACCATATTTTTTATAAAACAGAAGCACCAAAATACAGACATGAATTTCTCCTCTGAGTTTATATATACAGGGGAAAAAGAAGAAAGGCTTAGCATGGCAACATAAGATCAACTTAAAACTGTAAAAGATTAATGCTCACTTGAATTTCTCTCACTCTGTCGCTAATCACGCCAGAGTTCCTCTCAGCTCTGATCAACTCTTTTTCTGTAAGCTCCTTTTGAACAATCCTCCCTGGGAATGCAAATATGCTCATACTCCATTAACAGAAGAATTTCACCTCTTTTTTCAGCTAAGCTTCAGTATTTTGAATGTAAAACTGCAGAGACACCCTACAACATCTCCTCTTTGGATATATTCCGTATCCAAAACTTTGATAGGATGTGGTGTCCTACGGACATGTAACTCTTTTGAACAAAAACAAAACCAGTTCAAAACAAAACAACCATGATAAAGAAACATATTGAAATGAGAAGTGAGATGTCTTTTACTTAGAATCATGAGAGGGTGAAAGGGCTAACCATCTCCCTTCTGCATTTTCATGAGTAAAGGCCCGATCCTTTGGCGGATAGTATACATGGTTCGCCCATATTCGGCGGCAGGCCACATCTCAGTACCAAACACAGCACTGCATATAACTATGAAAGCATCAACGCACTAAACAAAATATAACAATCTCCTGATCCCCCTCTTTGACTTGAGAGAATCAAAAGAAAAAAGTAAATAAAACAAATAAATTCAATAAGAAAAATACAAATTGAATCAAATTCATTAACTTAAATTGGTTAAATCAAGCAAATTTCCACGAGTCAAAACAGAAATGCTTAAAAATGAAGATCCAAGTGCTTGTAAACAAACAATCATAAAAAAAAGAAGATAGAAAAGAACTAAACAAAACAAAATTGGACTGAATTAAAGCAAAACAAAAGAACCCAAATTCTGGTAGACAATACCTAGTTGCAATGACTTTGTCTCCAACTGAGAACTTGCCAGTCTTATCAGCTGACCTTCCAGGTGCAATGGCATCAATATAAGTCCCCCCATCTGGTCCCTTTGCAAATTTTAATCCATAGGGCTTCTCTATCTCTACTTCATACTCTTCAAACTCTCCTTCCTCTTCTGTATCAGAACCAGAGTTGTCGGTTGTGGAGGAGGCCTGGGCTATCAAAATGGAGCCCGAAAAAGATGGGGGTTTCGAGAAGTTCAGGGATAATTCAGGAAAGGAGATGGGTTTGGGGAAGAACCGATGGGGGATGAGAGAGAGAGTTGGGTTTGGTTTGTTGGGTCTCAGGAATGAAGAGGAGGAAGCAGAGGAAGAGAGAGAGGGGCTAGTGGGAGATAACAACATGGTTTTCTCTTTCCTTTCCCTTCTCTTTCTTCACTGAGTTTCCTTTTGCTCTCTCTCTGACTTGGAGACAGAAAGATAAGAGATTTGAACCAAGAATTGAGGTACTGGAGCACGAAAAATGGTTTTAATGGTGAAGATTGGATGCCCATTTGGAGAAAGGAGGAGGGGATGTGAGGTTCATGTGGAAGAGCATTTGGAAGCTTTAGAGAGAGAGAGAGAGAGAGAGAGAGAGGAGGAGTAGTTAG